TTGCTTGCTTTTGGCCGTCGGGTTCCCTTCTAGGTTATCAATGGACTCTTCCAAGCTCTTAGGGTTTCTCTCTAACGATTATTACAATTAGATGAATTAGGGTTATGGAGGAGGAATTAGGGTTAGGGAGGAGGATTAGGTTAAAAAAATTAGGGTTAGGTTTAAATAAGGATTAGGTTTAGGTTTATATAAGAATAAAATAAAAAAAAAAACCCTAATTAAACCCTAATCTAAATAAAAAAAAAGCCCAAGCCCAAGCCCATCATCCAAATTACAAAGTTTAAGCGAATTATGCAGAACTAACCCCTCAAGTTTGGTCAACTTCCAAAACTAACCCAAACTTTAATATATATATATATATATATTTAACTGATATATATATACACACACATACATATCTGACGGGTATTATAGGTTTTGTGTATTCAAGATTCGAAGATAGTGAGACAATGAACCGATCAAGTAATTGTTACTACATTCTTCACAGACAAGACCAATAACAATGAACACATATAAGGCTGCAGAAATCTTACAAGCGATCTCAGTCTCTATATGACTGAGATATGACAAAATGACGCAGGATCCAAGTAGCAACATGATTCGTCCTAGTGCGCGATAGGGTAATACACAAAGTTGATAAGAACATTGGGTATATTTCTGGATGAAATCTTTAAGAAAAATGGTAGGTTTTGGAAGTATTTAGAAATTATTCTTACAAATCAAAGTAGTGAACTCGACAGTGAAAAATAACAAACTGTTAGAAGCCGGGAGCCTGGTCCTATTGAGGAGCGGATCCATCAAGTATTTATGAACGTCTTTGATTACTTGTTTCTATTTCATACCTGATAGTTATATTGTATGTTGGTTCTCTGTATAAAGATCATTGATCATGATCAACTGCTTCGTTGCAGATGCAAAGAAAACTGTTGATATGGATGGATATGTAGGTTTTCATGCTGCTTTAAGGCACTCTTACAATTGCTTTATAAGGGATCTTGCAAAAGAGTGCAAACAACTTGTTCGGCATCATTTGGATTCAGTTACAAGCCCGTATTCTCAAGTATGTTACGATAGTGATATCCTCTCCACTTCTGGTGGAAACCCTTATACATACCAAGCTTCAGTTAGCTCAATATCTCTCGAGTTTTCAGAACATGCGGCAAAAGGCCAAGAAAATATACCTCCACATAAGAATGGTCAGGAGGACACCACACCTGGAAAACCTGTGGAAGCACGAGAGGCATATATGACTGTGCCCGAGACCCCATCACCCGATCAGCCGTCTGAAGGAAATTATGTCATTAAGAAGGAACTCGGAAACTATATTGAAGGTGGAGCAAAAAAACGCCATTCCAGAATACAGGGTAACTGCAAAGTGTTGGATAACTTGAGAGTTCAAAATGGTGGTCTTAATGCTAACTCACGATCAGGGTCATCATACTCCGAGATTTGCTCGTTGGCTGCACAGCATTTTGCACGCATACGTGAAGTTTTGGTTGAGCGCAGCGTGACTTCAACTTTGAATTCTGGCTTTCTGACCCCATGGTAGGTTTCTAATGCTTTTCTAGTTTTCTTGATTGAAATCTCTTTTATGCTGCTATAAGTATCATTTGCTTACGGACTCGTTGCTTTTTTGTTCATGTGGATAGCCGCGAACGACTTATGGTGGCACTGGGACTGGATTTATTTGCGGTGAATGATGAAAAATTCATGGATATGTTTGTTGCACCGGGAGCGATAGATGTTCTCCAGAATGAACGACAGTCGCTTCAGAAACGTCAAAAGATATTGCATACTTGCTTGTCTGAATTCAAATCTGTTGCTAGAGCACTCTAATGGATTCGGTTAAACCATCCCAGAGAGAGTTGCTTCCATCTCGTGAGCAATAATCAGATCTGAAATGATGAATCTTTACAGCCTTCGTTACAGTGAGTCATATCTTCTTCAGTAAAACACACAGTTTGTGTTTGGTATACAGACAGGACTAGAGTGAGGTAGGTAAGTGAAATAACTGTCCAATATTTTAGTGTTTGACATGGATAGTTTAGTAATTTACATCTTGTTCTATCTACCTGATTTTTGTTTCACCTATTTTGGTGGGACAAAAATGCATGTTTGGCCTGCTCAATCCTGTCCCAGTCTAAGGGGCTGTTTGTTGGTTTTTATTAAGTTCAGACAAAGTTACCTGTTTGGATTAATCTGTCGGTATAGATTGAGAAGGTTTTTGTTTGAAAGAGCTTTTCATAGATGGAATGAGTGTGTTATTTAATTGGGTATGGGGGGTTTGAAAAAACTTGGCTTTCTGCATAAAGCTCCTCCCTAGAAGCTTACTGGCATCTATATCATTAAGCCACTACCAAACAGTCATCTATAGCTGATCGAATAAGCTGTGTTTTCCACTAAGCTCATTAAGCTGCTAACAATGCCACACCAAACACAAGACTAGATGTTTTTATTCTGTTATGTCCTCTCCTGTCCTGCACATTCTACCAAACGCACAAACTCGCATCTTTTTCACCATCAACTGGTCTTGAATCTTCGATCAGACACCAAAATGCGTTGACTTAATTACTTATTTAGCTCTTTTTGGATGTTATTTTGCAGATCCAGCTTCCGTGAACTCCATATGATCCACGTATACGCCTGTGAACATTTGGGTACGATTCTCTTAAACTGAAATGAAAACCGAACTTATTAGTGTGTAACTTTTGCATGCACTTGACCGTAATCATGCATGCTTTTAGTTTTCAACTTTGAACCATAAAGTTACATGAAATCAGTTTCTCTTTATTGCCATTCAGCTCTACTATTGAAATGCCTCTGAGATTACTAGATTGAGTCAGCACTCATCTTGTACTTTCACCTGATTCTTAATCTGTATATGATGATAATACACTTGTTACTTGGAAGCCAACATGAATAATTACAATTTTCACGATGTTTCGGTAGGTAGCATATCGGTTGATTAAACAAAGATGAACTAAAACACACGAATCCTTGATATCGGTTGATTCATTTTCAAGGCGTTCTCATTTGAACCTCCATACACACATATAGAGTCGGGTTCAAACGAGAATAGTGACCAAATAAGAAAACACGAGAATGGCCAAATCATTAAGTACAGAAATTTAAAGTCGTTTGACTTAACGGATTTGACCCGTAAAATAACTTCTAGTGCCTATCAAAATCAAACCTAACCTTAGAGTAATGGTGATGGAACATGTAACATGTAACATGGAAAGATATGGTCCCTTAATCTCTGCTTGTCCTAGCAACTAATGACATTGTCCAAGTCCCAACTGTATCCCTTGATGTTATGCCCTACCTTTACCTAAAATTACGAAAATACCTGATGTTCGGTTGTCTCGTAAGCCGTTCGCTGCAACGATATGGCGATTATGGTATTTGAATTCTTGGCTTTTACACTAAAATAGACATGTTTTAGTAGCGTAATGTTTTGCTTTAGCATAGATTGAAGTTACAAAACTACCCTTATAGTGCTTCGTTGACTTTTTTGGTAATCACAGTGTCTGGGTTTTGTAGCGTTGAACGTATCTTGAATTATCTCATTGCTACAACAAAATTCGGATTTATATGACATCTAAATTTTATAAGTGTCTTAATAGAGTTATTTACAGGGCTTGTATTTATAATACCAAACGATTGTGGATTCTATGTAACATAGGGATGCACCCAAAAAAAAAATTCAAACTGTGGAACCATTTGGATATAAGAAACAAATATAGGGATAATTTTCACAAAATCATTATTGCTTTGTTGGTTAGAAACACAAGAAATCTTAAATTAAAAGCTAAAATTTAAAAAAATGACATTAACGGAATTCGAACTTAGGTCTAGTGTGGAAAAAAAGTCTTGCAAACTAACTCTACCAAGGGAAACTTGTGTCCCTATTGTAGTTTTAAAATATACATGGTAACATACAAAATATTGATACAGTGATACTTTTCACGACCCTATAATTTTTTATACTACGATGGATGGATGAAATGGTGGCACATGCCACCACAAAAACCCTATGGGTCTGTCCCTGATATAACAATATTACAATAAGTTTATAAGATGTTTTTAAAGTGTTAACAAGTTTTAAGGATACTTTTAAAATAAAGCTTCCTATTAAATTTTTTTATATGATATTATTTAAAAGTGTTCTATAAAATCAAGTGCCTTGCAAAAAAGCTAATATGACACTTTTTTTTTTATACAGGACGCACAATTATTTGATCATATAAAGTAGTCTATTAGAATATTTAAACAATGTCTGGACATGGGTCTTTCAAGCATGTTTTCATAGACTGAAAAAAATACTGTTTTTTTTGGGGTTTAACCAGGTTTTTTAAGCCGGGTTTTTTCGAGCCAAACCCTGGCCTAAACCTGACTCTAAAATTTTGGCATGATGGGGCTTTTAGACTTGACCCGAGCTAGGTTTTGGGCTCACTAGGCACGAACTTTTTGGATCGGACTTGGATCTAATTTTGAGGTTGGAATTTTGCATCTTTAAATTCAAGATTTAAATTTACAATATTTAAGTTATAACAAGGGGAATGCTATTTGCACCTCATTTCATATCAGAATCAGGTCATTTCATGCATTGAGAATGTAAAAAACATGTATTGATGTTGATGTGTGCGATGAAGAAATTCATGGGTAGGGATGCATTTAGCCCACCCCTATAACAAACATATTTTTATTACGTGAATGATCTAGTTAAACAGTAGATTATAAATAATCAGCTATTACAGATATACTATATTTTATCTTTTTTTATTTATATTTGGAGATTTTTTCATTCTCCTTTATTTTTTTCCCTTTGTTTTAAAGGAGAGTTTAACATAGCTGTTAAAAAAAATCAGATCTTTAAAATAACATAGCAGTTGAAAATGCTTTAAAAATACCAACATATAATATGTGTCACATTTGGCAACTACCTCATACCTTAATTTTTGTTTCTAGTAGCATTCAATACATGTTCTTTATTCACATAAAATGACACCTAACCAACAAATTTCAAGCTTTAAATTATTTGGTAACTATTATTTAAATAGAAGTGAATCTGTAAAATTTAGGGGTTGTTTTGTAGTTGCTGGAATGGTTTGGTGTAGAATGATTAAGAGGCTATCATGATATAATGCAAAATAAAATATAATTGTTTGGTAATTATTTACAACAAAATTAGGGTGTTGAATGGTTAAGGGAGTCTCATGATACAAATTCATTTAAATGGTTTTAGAATCATTAACAGACATATTTTTTTTTACAAACAAAATTCATCTCTTAACGATTCAGATGTTGTCTCTTAATGAAACTATTAAGAGATAAACAAACAATCTCTAAGTGTTGGATTTCGCATAAAAATTGGTAAAATAATAATTATTTTTTCTCGAAAAAAATTACCGGCAACCTGAGTCGATTCCATTAAAAACCTGTTTCTAATGACATTAATATCAGTGGGTATTTTTGTCTCATTCATTGGCTTAGACTAACGAGTGGGTCCCAAAATTAAACCCGAAACATTTTTTGTATTTGGACAAAATCATCTCACTTCTTTGGCAACGGAGCAACACGTCAACGACAATATTTATTGTTGTTTAATATGTGGAATATTATTTTATTTTTTTAATTAACCTGGATATCCAACCCGCTATGCAAGCCAACTAATCTCAGGACGACCACCTGTTTTGCAGATAGTCCGAAGTCACTGCATTTGAACCTCCGTGGCCACAAGATGATTTTTATTTCTTTTTGGATTTGAACCTGAGACCTCTTGGTACTTTTAACCTTTGGAGCCAATCTCAAAACAATCAGACACCACCTTTATGGTTTATTTTAGACTGTATTTGAGAAAAAAATTAAATTTATTTTATAGAAATTATTTATTATTAACAAATATTGACTATGATTTATAAGTCTTTCAAATTTTGTTATGTTAAGCAGTATTTTAGATGAATAAAATATTTAATAAATAAAATAATAGTATTTTTTTTTTAATAATCATATGTTTTCAGACTAACTGGTATGCATCTCGACGAATTCAACGAGGCCCTGAAGTTGATATGGTTAAATATCGGAATCTAATGAGTTAAATTATCCGTGGTGGCTCAAATGAGAAGATATGTGGATTGTTAATTAGGGTTTAAACCGGATCACATGACTGGAATGAAAAAACAGAGTCGAAAATTGGACATATCTGAATGAACCGAAAAGTCAAAACTGTAAATAAAAAAATAAAAAAATTACAACAGTGTCTTTTCAAGTCTGATTATAAAAATAAATGAATAAAAAAAAACCTATAATTGAGAACCAGTCTGAATAGAACCTATTCATGTCCATTTTTGTTGACTCCTTAATACAGTTTTTATTCTAGGTTGAAAACAGTATAGGGAATTTCTACCTTTTTTTTCTTATATCATGCTTTCATTATGATATTATGCCTTTTAACTTTTAATACTGAGGTATGTATCTTGACCCATATACAGAGGGATTCTGTTACATTGATAGAATGTGAGAATTATTAGCTCCTTATAAGTCTCAAATAGTAGACTATCAATAATTTCCACCATGGTTTTAAGTTGGATTCGAAGTTATTGAGCGAGTCCTTTGCTTCGGTCGCTTTGGGGATGTTACAGATTCCCCTTTAAGCAGCTCTTGATCGTAGCAATCATGCCTTTCGAAGGTACGTTTTTTTGGATTTATTTTGTAGAAGGAAATTTCATCAATAAAAATTAATAATTAAATATAAATAAGAAGAAGGAATCTTTATGTCGCGTTACCAAGGTCCTCGTGTTAAAAACATTTTAGATATTCAATTAATAATTATATATTTAATTATTATTTATATAAAAAATTGTTAATATATTTTAATGGTATAAATGATATGGTTGGGATTAGGGGTACTCATGGGCTGAGTTGATCGGGTTGAAGACATTTGAACAACTCAACCCAATGCTTGCGGTTTAAAAAAATTTAACCCAACCCAACCCCAACAAACCGTACAGGTATGTTTTGGTACATTAAAATATTATTCTAACCTTGAATATGTTATTTCTCTACTCATAATTTTTCCATCATTAACCATTTGATACAACGTTTCCATACTTCTTACGTATATCACATTC